GCTTGAAAACAGACGATTTTTTGTTTGTTTGTTGTTTGTTTGCTTTTCTTGTTCCAACTTTTGATGGTTTATTTGTTTTTCTTTTTTATAGCGGAAGTAGAATTCAGCCACCTCACCGCCTAGTAAATATAGTTATTTTCGCTTTCCATAGTCCGATGACTGTGTTTGATTAATCATCAGCTAATAATAAACACTTGGAAACTACCGGACAGGGAGGACATCGACATGTAAGCGTCTGATAAAATGATAAAACAAAAATAATTATACACTCAAAACTAAAGGTAGCTTTTTGATAAAAAATGGGAGCAAATTTGTGAATAATTATACCTAGTATTTTTTTTGTTCAACAATCAAAACGGTACATCTCGGTAGCTTGCAGCAGTATCGAATCAGAAAGAATATATCAATAAGTAATCAAAGGTACGCACACAAATCCGCCAGTCAATTTCCTGAGGTCACAAATGTGATTTTAATGTGTGTAATCCATCCATTCATTGATTGATCGATTGATTGATTGATTGGTCAATGCCCGTCTGACTGATGATGTGACTGCTTGCCCGTCTGAAATGCAGTCAAACTCATTTTATACGCTGCTCCATAAGAATCTGAATAAGCCATGACATATCGTCACAAGATATCCGCTTTCACTTTATCAAAGCTGATTTATAATCAAATGAAAAGGCATAAGGTTTTTTTTTAAAACAGATCAACAAAGGACACCTTTCTAAAAGCAAAGAAATCATCAAAGAGCTTACATCATTTGCTTAATGGTGGATCAGGACACGCTGTTTAAGTAATTTTCATATTGTAAAGCGATTTAAAAGACAATTTCATCTCATTTTCGTATGAGTTAATTGAATGATGTAAACGAATCTGTGGTCGTGTTTTTATGACGCCGGATAAAATTACAGTCGGGTACGTCGTTTGAGGAGAACACGTACGCAATCATAACAATTTGTTGTTAGGGTTGGTGACTGACAAACGATGGTCGCACGTAGCAGAAAAAGGTTGAAAGTAAAGAAATTCTAAAACTATTCGCTATTTGTCAACTCATCCTACGTGCAAAAAGGAGAAACCACCCGTTAGGGGATTTGGTCTTATTGGGACCAGAGCCAATTATCTTTGTTTTCGGCGTCGGTATGGAAACCAGTAGTAACCGCATCGGCCACAAGGCAAGACAAGATTTGAAACTGTTGTTTCGTTGTTTTGTTTCAATCGCGTTGCATAGAAACGAAGTCGTCTTCAAACGCATTGGGATTTTTTTCGATGCTCTTCTTGCGGAAACCGATTCATGACTCACTTAAACTATCTGATTTTGGTGACTTAAAGTAAATTATATTTGCACTTTTTCAGAGTTCTTCCAGCAACTAGCTCACGCGGTTTATTTGCAACAATAATCTTGCAATACAACAAGAACTCTCGAAAAACCTAGCTTATATTATCAATCGCGTTGCATAGAAACGAAGTCGTCTTCAAACGCGTTGGAATTTTTTTCGATGCTCTTCTAGAAAAAAAGATAAACGAATATAATCAATTCTGGCCCAAGATTTTAAAAAAGGATATTTCAGTCTTTTCAATCCATTTCTCTCATACAAATACTGCTTTTATAAATGATGAATTTTTGTTTGGGAGTGGTCTGTTGAGGTTAGATATGAGAATTATTTTCCACCTTTCGCTGAAAAAGTGAGCGTTAGGCGCCTTGAATGGAAGGTCTTTGGTTATCCATTGGCAATGCAAATTAGTAATACCGTTGATCTAAATTTCGTAAAAAACCAGATTTTACGTGGAATTGACATCAGAAGAAACATTAATCCAATTTGCCCCCTCTCAGGGTGAAAATCTGAACATTTCTTTCCCGTGTTTATATTTCTTGAACTAATCCTTGCTACACGTACTTCAATCAGAAAGGCTAGAGTCCATTTTAGTTGACCCTACGGAAACCTTCGAGTGCCATAGTTTGAAGCAATTGATGGTTATCTATATTTTATATCAATTACGAAGTAATCTTAGTTATTTTACGAAACAGTAGACAAGTTTCCATGAAAGAAATGTTTTCCTCTTAAAAGAAAGTTTAATTCAACCCTTAGTCACGTTCTTCAGTTAAATTAACCCCTTTGTGAGAAGTAAAACCGCTACGCTGATAATCTCGGTCTCAAACTTTACATAGATTACATAGATGCTGTAACCGCATTGACCACGAGACAAGACAAGGAGAACTGGTTAAGATCTTCAAAATTTCCAAACGAGACACCTTATACAGGCCGGTAAAACTTTTTCAGTTATTTTTTTTATTTTTTATTAATTTATTTATTATTTTTTATTTTTTTATTTTATTTTTTTTTACGACTTGCACGCTTGAACCCTTTCTGTGCATGACTTTTCAAAGGCTACCTCAACCAGTAGGCGTTTTCATCGGAAGATCATAAGTTCTCGACGAAAATTCTCGATAGAATTAATCCCATCAGACATGTCTCTAGCGATTAGAGAAGTAATTGACTCGCCCACGATTTTTGAGCATAAAGCATCTGCACATGCACTCAGGTAATAAAAAACTCACTAGTAGAAAGAGACCTCAGTTAGTCTTCATGGAACCTTGCCACCACATCTTCGGTAGACTTTGTCAATTTCTCTTCAAATATTACCTTTTGACATCGTGGTGCATTTTTCACCTAGAGAATTACCATGAGAGGCATTCAACAAGGAATAGGTATGAAACATCAAGCTAGAAACTTATTTAATGGTGCTTAGATCCAATTCTTACCTATCCTAATAAAGGACTAAAATATAAACAAATAAACGAAAGAAGTCGCCTTCAAACATTGCGGAGTTTTTTTCGATGCTGCTCTACAAAAAGGAAAAGTCAGTTTATGTAGTACAGTCCAACTTTTACGTTCTTGGTAACCTATAACTGTACAATTTGATTTCCAAACTCCTTCGGCTATTGTAATCCTTTAATTGGAAAGATTTCAGTTCTAAATTCGCTACTGCCCTGATGGCAAGTCAAAGTCGAGTTAATGACAAAGTAGATAAACAAATATAATCAGTTCTTGTCTAAGATAAAAAAAAAGGATATTTCAGTAGTTTTCAAGGCACGCTTTTTTGTGTAGGAGAGGTTTGCTGAGGTTTGATGTGGGAATTATTTTCCACCATTTCGCTGAAAAAGCGAGCGTTAAGCGCCTTAAATGGTAGGTCTCTGGTTACCATTGGCAATGCAAATTAGTATTCCCTTTGATCTAATTTTCAAAAAAAAATTAGTCTCTACGCAGAATTGACTACAGTAGAAACAATTAGCCCAGTTGCCCCTTCTCAGAGTGAAAATCTCGTTCATCACGTAACACGCTGCAAACCAAGGCCTTTGTCTATCATTTTTTTTTAAATACCACTCCCGACGATATGGACGATATAGAAGATAAAGATACTGTAGTTCAGTCACCGCGCTGTGAAAATATCATGTTTCCGAAACAGGAGAAATTGCGCTACTTCAACGACATCTATACAGTAATGTCAATTCAGTTTCAAATTTGAATCCGATCAAAATCAGGAGAAAGCTGGTCTGGCCATACGAAATATTATTTCGAATGTTTGATGCTGATGATATCCAGTTTTGTGTGATGATATGGACTTATGTTCGGTTTAAATGTAAGTCTCTCGACGAGGAAGATGTATATTAGGTCAACTTCGTCCTTTGACCCGCAGAAACTGAAACCGGTGAAATGGCTTAGAACAGGCTAGCAGTGGTATAATTTCGGTTTCTCGTTTTTTGGCATTTTCGTTACAGTCATAGTCATTATCAACTGAAGTTTTGAAAGTAAAAGTCAGCTGCCAGTAACTACTTAACCAAACATCACGTCTCGTTCTCACATCCCATTAGGGTTGATTTAGTAAGTAGGGATGAATTAAAAGATGCTGCGACTTCGAATTCAGAGCGAATGCTCTCATAGTTAAAAATAACAAAAAGGTTAGCGATTTGTGAAATAAATCAAACTGCTTTTTAAATGTTTTAATCGATTTAATTCAAGGCAGATTCTTGCCCATTTAGCCTGTTTAGTTCAGCTGAAACTTTGATTATACCGCATCGGAAATTTCCCCAAAAAATCGTTGGGCCATGCTTTTGAAGGATATACATATCAGCTTCTTAAGTCGTAATTCTTGGCGGATGGTATGATGATGCACTTCCTTGAATTTTACACTAGCTTCCATAGATTTGTTTATCATTCAGGGTTCCCAAAGGTATTTCTTAATCAGTATGGTAAGGGAAAATGCATCTCGGAAATTTAAAAATTCGCAGCCAAGCTGGACAGGAACTTTGCAATAAGTTACGGAGGGAAATTTTCAATCTTGAGGTATTTGGTGGCTGACGCTAGAAACGTGCAAAATAGGATCATGACGCATGCTTGCGCTTTTGAATTTGATTATACGGGTTTACTAGCTCTGTTATAATGTTACCTAAGACGAGTACTTGTTATATCTTTATGTTGGAGATGGAAATATCCGCCGTCAAAAACTGATCGGTATATCTACCAATCGATCGCATTAATTGATGATTGATGTCACTGTGTTTTGACCGTCATCACAATTAACCTTCAAGCACTTTCATCTGATTTCATTTCCCTGAAGGTACGATGCTTTGCATTTATTTGCCTTTATCTACCATCATCTACTCTTACCTACCATAATTTACGTTCACTTACCTTATTCTACCTTCATCTACCGTCATTCACCGTAAACCATCTTTATCTCAATCTTTCTATCATCTTTTGCCTTCGTCTATTATCATCCATGAAATACTTTCAAGAAAGTGCAGTTTTTGACAGTTACCCTTAAAACGCTAAAAATAACCTTTCAGGTGACCTAAATTTTAAATTTCTGGTAGAGCATGCTATCTATTCACCCCTCCAGGACCTTTATTTCTTCAGCATATGTTACTCCGACCCCCTTACTAGTCCTGGATCAGCCCTAGGCAGTGAATTCACACCATGTAATAAAGTTTCTTTCCTTCAGGTTCTGCTCTGCTTTTTCTGGCACTTTATGTGACTCATCAAATTCTACCATCAACGCGGGCATTTCTAATAGATTGCCAGGAGAACACTGCCGCATGTTTGGAAGAAATAATGAAGGAACTCACCCAAGTTCAATTATACATTAAAATTCTCACGGAGAACAAAACACTGGCGAGACGTAAGCACGATTTCTCTCCGTTCATGTGTTTTATTACCTTTATTAGCATTTATTCATTTCAATTTTTATCGTTATTTTTCAAGCGAATGTCAACTGTTATTACCTTGTATTTATCAACAGCTAAGAACTGTGTTGAGCTCTACCATTCCGGTCAAAGGATTAGCGGTGTTTACACAATCGATCCAGATGGCTCAGGTGCCTTTAATGTCTATTGTGACCACACTACTTCCGGTGGGGGATGGACAGTCTTCCAGAAGAGAATGGATGGCTCCGTTGATTTTAATCGCACCTGGAATGACTACAAGCATGGCTTCGGTAACTTGGTCGGTGAATTTTGGCTCGGACTTGACAATATAAACCGTCTGACACAAAACAAGACAAAGAACATGCTTCGAGTAGATCTGGGGGTAACTGCGCGCCAAACTGTTCACGCTGAGTATGAATGGTTTGGGATTGGGAACGGGACGGCTAACTACCGACTGTACATTGGCAATATGACAAGTAAGTAAACCGTCATTTTAAACATTCATCGTTCGATTCTTATGTGTTACTTCACTACCGACGTCTACTGCCCCATTCACACCAAAGCTTAACAGCTGTTTTTCTAAAAACCATTTAAAAACGGTTTCTTCAGAGAGGCTGCTTAATTTGATGTTCGTCCGCTTCAAATTTAGCAAACTGAAAATACAAATTAGCGACAACTTGAATCCTAAGGAAAACTGATTTAAATTCAATTCCTTCTCCCAACTTCACGTAACCTGCAAATAATGGTTTTTTCTAACGTATACCCGCTTGAGTGTGTTTTGCTGTTAATTCTGGTCGTACCTGGTTGAGTTCACGCTCCTCCGTGGACAGTTTGCTCTGGAAGTTGACTGAGATAGAAAAGTCATGAAACGCGGCTTTAGCAAAATCATAAAATTTTAGTATTTATAATTTTGCCCGATTATAGTAGCTATCGAGTTTGAGGTGTCAAATGTGTCATATTGATCCTAATATTATGGAATTTTCTTTTTTTTTTTTTTTTTTAAGCAGATGCAACTGTTTCTTTTGATTCCCTCAAACCTCACAAAGATTTCATGTTTGGTACCTGGGATAGAGATCCTGCTAATTGTACTCTAAAAAGAGGTGGAGGCTGGTGGTATGGCAGCAGTAGTGATTGTGATGTTTCGTCGAATCTCAACGGAATTTATCCGCATTGTCGAAAGGAAACCTGGGCCAATATCCACTGGGATCAATTGGATCAAAACAGTCCCGAGGGCAGCGCCCCCACATCAGCTGAAATGAAAATTAGACCAGTGGATTCTTTTTAAAACTTTCTGACGATAAAGTGTTCATATAAATAGTGACTTTTAAGTCTTCTGAAAGGTAAAATTCGCTTTTATTATAATTGTGATTGGCAAATTAATGATAGAGTGGCCTTTGTATGCATAGTGATGTTGATCCTTTTTTACGTACTATTTTGTGTTGATTTGAAAACGCTTTAATGAAAAAATAAAAGATAGTTCGCTTGCTGTCAAAACTAAACTAAAATATCTGTGAATTCAGTTTTCTAATATATGACAAAGAAATTTGTCCGGCCCAATCGATACTGTTTTGAAAAGTTAAGAAGTAATTTGCATGACAAGAAATAAAACGTGCATTTTTTTTTTCAACGCCTTTTAATTCTAGATTTTAAAATGCTTAGAATATACAGATAACATACAGATTAGAAGAAATGACGAAATCATAGACTCAACCATATATAGTTGATCAAATGCGATTTTAGAAAAGAATATTTTTATCACATCGAAATTAATTCAGAGAGATTTATACCAATGAAACGTTCCAGCTACTAGCTGGAGCTCATACAATTTAATGTTATACTTATTTTAAAAGTTTCTGCGTTTTCTGATGATTTTTAAAGCGTTATCTTCTTAGAGCTATCAATAAAGCAATTTAAGCTTATATCAAAATATGTAACTTAGGATATGTGAGTTTTAACGTGTGGAGAAATAAAGACTGCTGTTCATTATTTATGCATTTACGTCAATAGCTATGCAATAGTATCGCAATGGTAACCCAATAGGTCGCAAACCTACTATACCCGAGGTTATCCATTTCCATACTAGCCAGTGAAGTTTCTTACGCACGATTGACAAGCATTTAAGGCTGTAAGGTATTGAGGTGTAGGTTGGGAACCTGATTTTATCACAAATTGGTAAACAACTTCACAACTACTTTATTTCGTATATCTTGATGATACAAAAAAACTAACCAAAACAAAACATAACAAAAGAAAAAAACATATGTGTCCCAAACTAGGATAGATACGGACTGAAAACGCTATTTGTAATCTCTTACGAATTGTCAGTGAAACCCTGCATAAAGAAGGACTAAAATTTGATTTCAGTCACGGTATGGCAAGGAAACGTACGTACTTTAACACTTTATTGTCTGTGCACTGTTCTAAAATCTGATGAAACTGCAAATTGATCAAAATGAACGATGGAAAAGTCTTAAATTTCTCTCTCAAAGTCACGGAGTGGCAAAAATAGCAAATACCGAACTTGGAAAATTCGTCATAAATTTTTGCTCAAACCGTCACATGGTCGGAATCTTCAAAATAGTTGGCGACTGATCATTAAGCTACTTAGCTATCAGTCTGAGAAGGAAAAATCCGCGACACTGAGGTAAGGTTTTTTATTCGTTTCCCTCTCACTTTAAAATCCATAAAAAACAAAGCCAATAATTTTGTATTAAAATGCGCAGACACACTTTGTTTTGTCATGTTTATTGGATTTCGCCTATAGGTCGGATCACCTTTGCGGGTTGAAATGCTGCCAGAATAAAGTCGTTGAATTTCTGATCCATTATGTAAACAGGTTACTGCTGCCTTCAAGTCGCATCAAGGCAGAATTTCTTCTCACAGCATCAACACAATATCAAGCAGTCGAGTGTTGAGAATATCGAGAAATATCAATAAGGGAATTATTTATAGCAAGATCCAATACAAAATTCCCCAAAATAACACCATAGTGATTGAATGGCAGCCAGTAAGGAGAACTTCTATTGAGATATTGAGATTAAAACGCCGGTAAAGGGGTTATCACGGCTATCATTGCACTGTTCGGTTCGTTTGTAATGTTAATGTCATGAATGAGTCGTTTGTATGATGCCGTTAGTGGTTGACACCTTTTGGGGGGAGTCTGTTCCAAGTTAGTAAACCGGCTTTCCAGGGTCAGTCCTTGAAAGTAGATGTTGCTGTAGGTCAGACATTGCGTGCATTGTCCAGTCAATAGTATGGTTCGTGAGTCGGTGATGTTCAGCAATGTGATTGTTGACATCGCCTTTCCTCGTCACTCGTTTGTGCGCAGTCAGTCTAGTTGTGAAGTCTCTGCCAGTCTCACCGATGTAGGAGGTGTGGCAGTCGGAACAAATGATCTTATACACTGCTCCCTGTCTGTTCTTCGGTTGGTCTTTGTCTTTGACGTTAGTCAGTAACTGACGTAGTGTGGTAATAGGTTTGTGAGCGACGCAGATATTGAATGGTTGTCGGATGCGCAAGATGTATGGTATAGTTGCCGTAGTCGTAAGAGTTACGTTGTTGTTAGGTTCTGTAGTAGAAGTAGTTAGGTGAGTGTTGCGTTGGATGAAGTCTTCGTTGTAGTTGTTCTTTGAAAAAATACGGTCAAGGTACTTTTTCTCGTCGGATAAGCTGTCTGTCGTGTCGCATACTACTTACGCTCGTCGCGTAAGAGTCCTAATAGTTGTGGCTTTGTGTGATGTCGGGTTATAGGATGACTCGTCCAGTAATCTAGTAATTTAATGACTCCAGGGATACAGAATATAGTACAAAGCTGCAAACCATTTTTGATAATCTCAATATGGAAAACATCATTACTAAGCCGACGAGAACTACAATTGATTCATCTACGCTGATCGATCTCATTGTCACAACCCGTAGGAATTTGGTAAGCTCCACGGGAGTATTACCACTTGGTATTTCTGACCATGATCAAATTTATGCCACTTGACGTCTAAGACACAAAAGGCCACCTCCACGAGTCATCAAATACGGAATTATAAGAACTTTGACGTAAAGAGCTTCAAATCTGACCTCGTTAACGCGCCATTTCATGCCACCGAATGTTTTGAGGATATGGATGATGTTCTGTGGGCCTGGTAGCCTCTGTTAAATGATATCTGCGATAAACGCGCTCCTTGGAAGGAAGTGAAGATCAAAAGCCAGGTACCACCGTGGATAACAAATGAAATACGCCAAGAAGATGAACAGAAGATTCAAGCTTTTCAAATTACCCGTAGCCTCTAAGTGTCCTAGTAAGTGGTTGGAGTACAAAAGACTGTGGAATGACGTTACTCGATCTATACGTCAAGCAAAAGCATCTTACTTTTCTGACTTGTTCAGTGAGGTTAAGAACACCAACGCCTATTGGAATTTGATAACTAAAGCAACAAATCCAAAAACCAGAAAAAAACATTGGACCTATAAAAGAAGAGGATGAAACTCTGGCTTTAACAGATAAAGAACAAGCGAACTCGATCAATTTATCCTCTAATGTAGAGAGCAAGCTAAATAACCTACTGCCAACATCAACGCACCTGCAACCTATAACTTTGGAGAACAAAGAGGTACCACTATTGTCCCAGGTTGTCTTAAACAGAGAAGCGGTATCTAGGAAGATTAACCCATCGCAAGTGAAAAAGTCTGCTGTACTGGACAATATTCATCTCAAGTTATTAAGAGTGCTAATACCATCACAGTATTGATCTTGAAGCTGTGTTTTCGCAATGGAAAGTAGCAAGGATTACGCCAATACACAAAAAGGACGATGAGACAGATATCGCCAACTACAGACCAGTCTCACCTCAGAGCATGCCAAGCAAGATACTTGAAGAACTTGTGAATGACACATCAGTTAATCATGTTTTCACTCCTAACGATTTTGCCTGGGACAGACAGTGGGCATTCTGCTGAGTTACTACGAACACTGAGCTATGGAGAAAAGAGCTCGATAAGGGAAAAGCCACTAGACTTCAAGAAAGCCTTTGATTGTGTTCAGCACTCTCTCCTGATTAGAAAGTTACGGTCAACGGCGCCGAATCTGGGACCCAGTCAGTTCAAGTTGGAGTCCCACAGGGCTCAGTCTTAGAACAGACATTATTTGCTTTATTTTCCAGCAATTTTCCAACCTCTGTGGCTTCGAAGATACGTGTTCGCTGACGATACCAAAGTGTACTGTGTTGGTAACAATGGGTATGTAGCGGTTTCAATATTGAACAGAGCGTTAAGAGAGCTGTACGAGTGGTGTCTCATAAACAGGCTCACACCACACCCTAAAAAATACGAGGCTATGTTCATGGCTAGGTCTAATTATATCGGACCTATTGCGCCTGTTTCTAATGGGGGCTCCTTGATAACATGGATTGAAAAATCGCGCTTACTAGGAGTAACAGTCGACAAAAAACTGACATGGTCACCGCACTTGTCGGAAGTGAAAAAGACCTTCGCAAGCAAGCTCAACTTGCTGAGGAAATCAAGTTTTTTTTTCCAACGAGTGTAATGGAAAATTTTTGTGTAAGTGTTATTCTGGCATTTGTCACTTACAGTCTGGTCACTTGGACAAACAGCAGTCATTCAGAGCTATTCGGGACGCTGGAGAATCTACACAGTCGCAGCAAGGATTATTTATGATTTAGAGGAAACGTCGATCGAAGCCGGATTAAGAATCCCTAAAGATAGCCAAATAAAAGACTTTGGCATACATCTTCAAGGACAAACTCTTTAAGTTAATGAATAATGCTTATAATGGCGTATTACCGAAACAACTATTTACTAGTGTAGGGTGTCGCGTTATGCATTTAGGGGGACAGATAATATTGTTGCACCTAGATTTACATCTCGTTATTTAGAGCAATCTAATAGTTACAGAGGGGCAGTCCTCTGAATTTGCAATCGCATCGAAAAACTCTGATATTGCTTCTGAGCCACGTAGAACTATCAGCTCTAGATTAAATAAAATTAAAGATTTCTCAGAGTTTTCTTGTAAAGTAGAACCAGCTTCTACAGTTGATTTTAGCAATAAGGATTTTAGATATTTTTAGGATTTTAAGATATTAAAACTTTATTTACATGAGATTTTATTAGTTGTTAAGAGCCTTAAGCTAATTATTAACTTTCTCATTAATTTGTTTAGATAACTAAACACACGACCACATAAGCGTTTAGCTTTTATCATTCATCTTGTATAAATAAATTCATGTATGTATGTATGCATGTATGTAATATGTCGGTATGTGTCGGTTTCCTGTA